ACCCCGGCTCAACTGCGGACCTGATCAAATTACCGGTCGAAAATGTATCCGCACGTCGCATCCCAAATCAACGACTTCCCCATTTTAAAAGGGGAAAAATAGTAATGTCGTCCGACCACTTTCCATCACGAGTCGATATGTGTGACCAGTATTCCAATAGATAATCTGATGGAGATGTTGACTTTCTGTACACAAACAACACACTTCGGAATGGGATCACACATATATCGACAGGATGAGGGCTTAGCAATGGGCTCGCCATTATCACCAACAATGGCGAGTATATACATGGAATACTTTGAGGAAATGGCATTAGAATCTATATCTCTAAAGCCAACTATATGGTTAAGGTACGTAGATGACAACTTCATACTCTGGCCACACCAGGAAGATGTTCAGGTTCTACTGGACCATGTGAACTCAATAAGACCTTCGATACAGTTCACAATGGAGAAAGAGAGTAACAACACACTCCCATTCCTGGATGTTCTAATATCTCGAACAGAGCATGGGTTTAAGACATCCGTATACCGTAAATCGACATTCACCAGAGAGTACCTCAATTTCAACTCCCACCATCCATACAGCGTAAAGAAAGGGATCGTCCGTTGCTTACAACACCGAGCAAAATTCATAAGTGGCGATCCAGAGACATTAAATAAAGAATTGGTCAGTATAAGTAGTACCCTACAGCGTAACAACTACCCTGGATACATGGCTGCAGCCCCCAAAAACGCGGGTACAAGAGGAGGAGGATAACAACACTCAGAAAACAGTCTGCCTGCCTTATGTGAAGGTGTTATCAGAGAAAATACAAAGGATCTGCGGTCAATATAACATCAGGACAACCTTCAAAAGCTTGACGACACTTCGCAGATATCTCTTCCGAGTAAGACCCCCCCCCATAGAGGAGAACATGACTAAAGACTGTATGTACGCTATCCCATGCAGCTGCGGAAAGGAATACAAAGGAGAGACAGGCCGCTCCCTCAAGGTAATGCTTCAAGAACACCAGAAAGCTGTAACACGAGGGGAAGTAGAAAAATCAGGCGTGGCTGACCACATATATAGAGAGAAGGGAGATCACCACCCTCTGTGGGATCATGTTTAGATCATTGACAAGCAACACCATTGGGAAATTTGTAAACTTAAGGAATCAGCACATATTCTAGGCCACAACAATCTCCTGAGCCGATCAAGCATAGAAATAAATACAATATGGGAACCAGTAATAAGGAGTGCCAGAGAAAAGCAATGATAACAACATAGTTGCAATATGAGCTCTGGTAAAAACATGCAATGATAACAGCAAAATTGCAATATGAGCACTGGTAAAAATGGTCAAGGACACATGGCACAGTGGATAAAGGCGTTAGTTAAATCCAGTGACAGGACCCAAAGAGTGTGAGTTCCATACCTGGTTAAGGCAGTGGAGAACTTACAGAGGGAAATTAACAGGAGATAACTGACATCCACCAAACATGGCACGTGGAACTAGAAAAGTCTACCCCAGTGAGCGAAATAAAGGGTTCAGTTCGACATTCCAACCACCTGAAGAAGGTCGGAGTGTACAACGGCCGAAACGTTGTGATAAATATGGCGACAAAGATTCGGACAATAGTCCGAATAATGTAAATAATATATATATATATATATATATATATATATATATATACATACAACGGATAAATTTTAAAATTCTCTTGTCTTTTTTAAAATCACTATGACAACAAGATGTAGATTTTATCGCAGTACAATGTATTTGTTTTTGTAATTTATCCCTGAAGAGAATCTTAGAGAAGGTCGAAAGTACTTGATTTAAAAAATAAAACTATGGCGCCTTCCATGATGAATTTCATATTAACATCAATTTCATATTAACACTAATTAAACTAACTGGAAAGGATCAGTATAAAAATAAGTAGACACAATATGTCTATATTATTCAATAAATCATGTTTGAATGAAGACATGCTGCCGAAATATACATACATACAGTGGTTGGACAAAATAATTGGAACATTTGCAAAATCCACTCCTATTACGTTAAGAGCTTTAACTAAAACTTCGTACTTGTAGGTTATATCTATTGTAAATACGTTTATGTATCTGTTGTAGAGAGATTTCCCAGTGGAGGCTTGTATTTGTACTAAGTCGGTCCTAAAATAGGTTCGACGTACAAAACGTTAGGAACTTGATATAATAGGTAATGACGCAGAGAAATCTAGTGGTGGTCGCTGATACTGACATCGACTGACTGACCAACTCGATATTTAGTCATCCCCCCCCACGAGGGCATCATGTGGCACAAGGCCGGTTTAACGTGGGATCTGCGAGCCCGTGGGCTCAGCCAAAAATATGCCCATTGAACCCGTATAAACGGGTTCAGGGTCGGTTTACCTCCCCGAAAGAGAATCCGCCCTTCGGCGTAGCCTCGTTCGGGTTCCTCCCCGCCCGAAGGCAGAGAGTTCAACCGATCAGCCAGTCGACTGACTGACCAACTCGCTCAGCGACTTAGCTACTACTCCTACTTAATATAGGTGGGAGAGTCTATTAACAATAGAATAGGTGTGTTCCACTATAACAGTATCTAATTTACTGTCTTTGTCTTATTTATTTTTAGAATTTAGTAAAATTTAAGCTAAATGCGTGACCTCTCTGAGTTCGAAAAAGTGCAAATTTTTGAAGCCCGCATGGAAGGAGCCTCAATCACTAAGTTTGCTGAACTGTTTGGTTTTTCAAGAGCTACCATATCAAGAATTATGACGTAATTCGAGAAACAAGGCAAAACCTCTAGCGGGCCGGACTTGTAAAGTTACTGACAGGGACCGACGTGCATTGAAACGCAGTGTGGCAAAATAATCATCGGACTACTGCGGTCAAAGTGTCTGCTAAGTTGAATAATCATCTGAATAGTCCAGTTTCTACTAAAACTGTTCGTCGTGAGATCCATAAGGCTGGATATCATGGAAAATCCGCCGTAAGGAAACCTCTTCTCTCCACTCGCAACAGTCAGAAATTAAAGTGGTCCACAATGCCCGGTCCGCAGACCAATGGAAGAAAGTCATATTCTCAAACGAGTCCAGTTTCTCTCTTTTCTCAACTTCAGGGCGATTTTATGTGTAGAGTCAGCCCAAAGAAGCTTACATCTCGAACTGCCTTCTTCCAACAGTGAAACATGGAGGTGGACCAGTAATAGTTTGGGTCGCCATATCATGGAAATGTCTTGGTCCAATAGTTGCCTTGCATGGTAGAATCAATAGCAAAGATTACCTGAACTTATAGGGAGGTCATGTTCATTCAATGGCCAAGACTTCATTCCCTGATGCTGACTGCACCTTCCAAGACAATAAAGCACCAATACATACCGCTCGAGTGGTTAAGAATTGGTATGAAAAGCATGAAAGTCAGCTAGAATACATGGAGTGGCCTCCCCAATCTCAAGATAGCAATATTATTGAACATTTGTGATGCATTTTGGAACAAGAAGTTAAGAGCCGCTATCCTCCACTGTCGTGTCTTAAAGATATGGAGCAAGCATTAATGGAAGAATGGCTGAAAATTCCTTTGGATGAAGTCAGGAAGTTGTATGATTCCATTCCTAGACGTATTAAAGCTGTATGTGAGGCTAAAGAAGGACCGACTCCATATTAAATAAATTTTCATTGCAATTAGCAAGTGTTTCAATTATTTTGTCCCTGTGCATACACCCACACGCACATATTTATTAAAATATATATATATATATATATATATATATATACAGAGACATGACAGAATTAAATAGACGCACACATAAACCGTTTATTTTATTAAGAAAGTAATTTATTCAAATGAAGTAATTATAAATGGTCATAAATTTAATAACTAATACTTGGTTGATATCCCTTTTGCTTTTTTTAATGCAAGGACCCTTCTAGGCATGCTAGCAATGAGATCGCGAATATCATCTTCAGGGATTTCTTTCCATGTTTGACGCAATAATCCTAAAAGTTCGGGATTAGAAGATGGCTTCCTGTTCTTTTTGAAGAGTTTTCGATCTAATATGCCCCAAAGGTGTTCAATAAGGTTAATATCCAGGGACTAACTTGGCCATGGAATTTTATTGATCCCATTTTGTCTCAATCAATGTTGCGTTGCTTGAGCAGTGTGACATGGAGCTCCATCTTCCATAAATACGGAGTCAACGTTGCTCATTCTACTACTTGAGAATATTGGAAGGAGCCCTTTCTTTAATATAGAAACATATTTGGTTGAATTAATGTTTCCTTCACACTGCACACGTTCTGAGCGACCATCACTCCAAATTGCACCCCATACCATTACTGAAAGGCACCCATGTTTCACCGTTGGCTGCAGTCTTTTTAAATCAAACTCTTGACTACAGAGTCTCCATACCCATACACTTCCACTGTCAGAAAATAATGCGAATCTTGACTCATCAGAGAAAATGACAGTGGTCCAAAAGATCATAGGTCTCTCCACCATCTCATGAGCCCAATCCTTTCTGCGTTTGATATTGGCTGGACGGAGAAGTGGTTTCCTTCTCGCAGCTCTGCCATAGTAGCCCAGCTTGTGAAGATACCTGACAGCTGTTCTGGGACTGACATCAACTTGTGTTGCTATGTCAGAGGCCATGCAACGTGGATCCTGTTCAACATTTCTTTCGACAAGACGCATGGTTCTTTCAGAGGGCCCAAGGCGTCCTGGATGAGGTTTTGTGCATTTCTTGCCCTCCCTGGTGAATTGTACGATAACTCTATTAACAGTAGAAAGGGGTATTGAAAGATTTTCAGATATTTTTCTTTGACTAAGACCATCTTCATGTTGGCCCTCGATACGTCCTCGCTGAAATTCGGAGGGGGTCTGATGCTCCTTTGGTTCATGGCATCTTCCAGTATTGTTATCTGCAATTTTAATCAAATAATCTAAGTTAATTTATCTTGGTTATTAAAAAAAATCAGAAATAAAATTTATCTTGGTGTCTATTCAATTCTGTCATGTCTCTCTCTCTCTCTCTCTCTCTCTCTCTCTGTATATATATATATATATATATATATATATATATATATATATATATATATATATATATATATATATATATATGTAAGAAAAAACAGTGATCAATGTTAAGTAACAGAGCTATTTAATATATTAAAAATATACATAATACCTATATTTAATTTACTGTAGGTATTATGTATATCTTTAATATATATATATATATATATATATATATATATATATTAATCGAGTTCACGCTAAGCAAGGCAGTAAATCCACTAAGACACAAGCGGAAGAATTAGAAAACAGAAACAAGACAAGAATAATAAGAGTAGATAGTGACTGGCATTGTATTTAAATTCGAAGTTTAATGCTAATTTTAAAGAATGGAACGAGAAGGGAGTTCTACTAGAAAGAAGTGCGAGAAAAGAAACTGCCAGCATAGAGTTTGCGGTTATATCTAGAAAACTCAACTGTAAATTGATGAGACCTCGTATTAGTACTGAGCTTAAATTTTTTAGAAAGACTTTCTCTATCTGTGTGTGTGTGTGTGTGTGTGTGTGTTAAAGGTAGAGGTGAAATATAAGAAAACCAGTTACAGTATACATCGAAACGTTAAAGATACAGAGACGCTCAACTTTTAAATAATAATTTTGACGTCTGTTGTATCTGATGTTAATTTAGGCGATCTCATTCAGTTTTTTACCATTCGGTTTTTCCTGTTTATTTTTATAGGTATTATTTTAATTATACCCGATAATATTAGTAATAATTTCCCGAGGAAAAAAGATATGTTGTATGATCTTGGATGTAAATGTAACGGAGATGATACCGAAATTATTAGACTTTAAATTCATTTTCGCCTTAATAAATCACTTTCACTTTCAATTAGAGCTACAGTCTTGTCTAATTAACATTATAAGCCACATTTACTTTTTGGGATAATATTAATCACTTTTTGCCTTCTCCATTTTTATCTGCTTTCTTCCTTCCTTCATTTCTTTCTTCCTTTCTTCATTCCTTTTATTATTCCTTTCTTTCTTTCTTTCTTTCTTTCTTGCGTTCGTTCGTTCTTTCTTTCTTTTCTTCTTTCTTTCTTCAATTTGTCCTTCTTTCCATGTATATCTGCTTCCGACCTTCCTTCGTAATTTTCTTTCTTCCTTCCTTTCTTTCTCCATTTCTTTCAATTTTCCTGCCTTTCTTCCGTTCTTTCTTTCATTCTTCAATTCGTCCTTCCTTCAATTCCTTATCTGCTTCCTTCCTTCCTTCCTTCCTTTCTTTCCTGATTATCTTTCTTTCATCCTTCTTTCATTTCTTTCTTCATGCCATGCTGTCATTTTTCTTTCGTTTTTTTCTTCCTTCTTTTCATTCTCTTTCTTTCTTATTTATATCTCCTTCCTTCCTTCTTTCTTTCTTTCTTTCTTTCTTTCTGTCTTTCTTTCGTCATCATGCCATCCTTTCACTCATCCTTCTTTTCATTCTCTTTCTTTCTTATTTATATCTCCTTCCTTCTTTCTTTCTTTCTTTCTTTCTTTCGTCATCATGCCATCCTTTCACTCTTCCTTCTTTCATTCTCTTTCTTTCTTATTTATATCTCCTTCTTTCTCTCTTTCTTTCTTTCCTTCTTTCTTTCGTCATCATGCCATCCTTTCACTCTTCCTTCTTTTCATTCTCTTTCTTTCTTATTTATATCTCCTTCTTTCTTTCTTTCTTTCTTTCGTCATCATGCCATCCTTTCACTCTTCCTTCTTTTCATTCTCTTTCTTTCTTATTTAAATCTCCTTCTTTCTTTCTTTCTTTCTTTCTTTCTTTCTTTCTTTCTTTCTTTCGTCATCATGCCATCCTTTCACTCTTCCTTCTTTTCATTCTCTTTCTTTCTTATTTATATCTCCTTCCTTCTTTCTTTATTTCTTTCTTTCTTTCTTTCTTTCTTTCTATCTTTCTTTCTTTCTTTCTTTCGTCATCATGCCATCCTTTCACTCTTCCTTCTTTTCATTCCCTTTCTTTCTTATTTATATCTCCTTCTTTCTTTCTTTCTTTCTTTCTTTCTTTCTTTCTTTCTTTCTTTCGTCATCATGCCATCCTTTTTCTCTTCCCTCTTTGCATTCTCTTCCTTTCTTATTTATATCTCCATCCTTCTTTCTTTCTTTCTTTCGTTCTTTCGTCAACATGCCATCCTTTCACTCCTCCTTCTTTTCATTCTCTTTCTTTCTTATTTATATCTCCTTCCTTCTTTCTTTTTTTCTTTTTTTCGTCATCATGCCATCCTTTCACTCTTCCTTCTTTTCATTCTCTTTCTTTCTTATTTATATCTAGTTCCTTTCTTCTTTCTTTCTTTCTTTCTTTCTTTCTTTCTTTTTTTCGTCATCATGCCATCCTGTCATTCTTCCTTCTTTTCATTCTCTTTCTTTCTTATTTATATCTCCTTCCTTCTTTCTTTCTTTCTTTCTTTCTTTCTTTCTTTCGTCATCATGCCATCCTTTCACTCTTCCTTCTTTTCATTCTCTTTCTTTCTTATTTATATCTCCTTCCTTCTTTCTTTCTTTCTTTCTTTCTTTCTTTCTTTCGTCATCATGCCATCCTTTCACTCTTCCTTCTTTTCATTCTCTTTCTTTCTTATTTATATCTCCTTCATTCTTTCTTTCTTTCTTTCTTTCTTTTTCTTTCTTTCTTTTCTTCATCATTTCCATCCTTTCACTCTTCCATCTTTTCATTCTCTTTCTTTTCTTATTTATATCTCCTTCCTTATTTCTTTTGTTTCTTTCTTTATTTCGTCATCATGCCATCCTTTCATTCTTCCTTCTTTTCATTCTCTTTTTTCTTTCTTTCTTATATCTCCTTCCTTCTTTCTTTCTTTTTCTTTTTTTTCGTCATCATTTCCATCCTTTTCACTCTTCCTTTCTTTTCATTCTCTTTCTTTCTTTCTTTCTTTATATCTCCTTCCTTCTTTCTTTTCTTTCTTTCGTCATCATGCCATCCTTTCCTCTTCCTTCTTTTTTTTCTTCTCTTTCTTTCTTATTTATATCTCCTTCCTTCTTTCTTTCTTTTCTTTCTTTCTTTCTTTCTTTCGTCATCATGCCATCCTTTCCTCTTCCTTCTTTTCATTCTCTTTTCTTTCATATTTGTATCTCCTTCCTTCTTTCTTTCTTTCTTTCTTTCTTTCTTTCTTTCGTCATCATGCCATCCTTTCACTCTTCCTTCTTTTCATTCTCTTTCTTTCTTATTTATATCTCCTTCCTTCTTTCTTTCTTTCTTTCTTTCTTTCTTTCTTTCGTCATCATGCCATCCTTTTCACTCTTCCTTCTTTTTACATTCTCTTTCTTTCATTCTTTATATCTCCTTCCTTCTTTCTTTCTTTCTTTCTTTCTTTCTTTCTTTCTTTCTTTCGTCATCATATTCATCCTTTCCTCTTCCTTCTTTTCATTCTCTTTCTTTTCTTATTTATATCTACTTCATTCTTTCTTTCTTTCTTTCTTTCTTTCTTTCATTCGTCATCATGCCATTCTTTCCTCTTCCTTCTTTTCATTCTCTTTCTTTCTTATTTATATCTCCTTCCTTCTTTCTTTCTTTCTTTCTTTCTTTTCGTCATCATCATGCCATCCCTTTCACTCTTCCTTCTTTTCATTCTCTTTCTTTCTTTTTATATCTCCTTCCTTCTTTTTTTTCTTTCTTTCTTTCTTTCTTTCGTCATCATGCCATCCTTTTTACTCTTCCTTCTTTTCATTCTCTTTCTTTCTTTTTTATATCTTCATCATTCTTTCTTTCTTTCTTTCTTTCGTCATCATGCCATCCTTTCACTTTCCTTCAGTTAAGGCATTCTCTTTCTTTCTTTTTAAATCTCTTTCCTTCTTCCTTTCTTTCTTTCTTTCTTTCTTTCGTCATCAAATCCTTTCATTTCTTCCTTCTTTTCATTCTCTTTTCTTTCTTATTTATCCTCTCCTTTTCCTTCTTTATTTTCTTTCTTTTTCAAATCTTTCACTTTCTTTCAGTATAATTAAGTCATCCTTTCAATCCTTTTTCACTTTTCCTTCTTTTCAAGGCTCTTTCTTTTTTCAAATCCTTTCATTTCCTTCATTCTTTCTTTCTCCTTTCTTTCTTTTTCCTTTTCTTCGTCATTTCATGCTATCCTTTCCTTCTCTTCCTTCTTTTCATTCTTTCTTTTCTATTTTTATATCTCCTTCCTTCCTTCTTTCTTCCTTTCTTTCTTTCTTTCGTCATCATGCAGAAAATTCCTCTTCCTTCTTTTCATTCTCTTTCTTTCTTATTTATATCTCCTTCCTTCTTTTTTCTTTCTTTCTTTCCTTTTCTTTCTTTCTCCTTTCTTTCATTCAGTATAAAGCCATCCTTTCCTTTCAAATCCTTTTCTTTTCCTTTCTTTCTTATTTATATCACCTTCAAATTCCTTTCTTTCTTTCTTTCTTTATTTTTCGTCATCATGCTATCCTTTCAAATTCCTTTCTTTTTCCTTCAGTTTTTTCTTGCAGAAAATCCTTTCAAATTCTTTCTTTTTCCTTTCTTATAAGGCTTTCGTCATCATGCCAATCTTTTCAAATCCTTTCTTTTCATTCTCTTTTCTTTCTTATTTTAAAATCCTTTCCTTCTTTCACTTTTTCAGTATAAGGCATCATCATGCCATCCTTTCAAATCTTTCTTCTTTTCTTCAGTTTAAGGCACAAGCAGAAAATCCTTTCAAATCCTTTCTTTCCTTCAGTATAAGGCACAGCATCCTTCTCCTTTCAAATCCTTCTTTCTTTCCTTCAGTTCGGCATCATGAAAATCCTTTCAAATCCTTTCACTTTCCTTCAGTATTTTTTCTTTTCTTTTTTTTAAATCCTTTCTTTCCTTCAGTATAAGGCACTGCAGAAAATTTCAAATTTTCTTTCTTTCAGTCATCATGCCAAAATCCTTTCAAATCTTTTCACTTTTCATTCTCTTTTCTTTATTCCTTTTTATCTCCTTCCTTTTTTTTTTCCTTTCTTTTCTTCGTCATAATGCCATCCTTTCATCTTCCTTCTTTTCATTCTCTTTCCTTCAGTTTAAGGCACAGCAGAAAATCTTTCAAATTCTTTCACTTTCCTTCAGTATTTCACTTCAGAAAAATCATTCAAATCCTTTCACTTTCCTTCTTTTCATTCTCTTCACTTTCTTATTTTTCAAATCCTTTCACTTTCTTTCTTTCTTTTTCTTTCTTTCTTTCAAAAGGCACTTTTCTTCCTTCGAAATTCCTTTCAAATCCTTTCACTTTCCTTCAGTATCATTCTCTTTTCTTTCAAATTTTCACTTTCCTTCAGTATAAGGCTTTCTTTCTTTTTTTCCTTTTCTTTCTTTTCTTCAGTATAAGGCACTGCCATCCTTTCCTTTTCTTTTCTTTCACTTTCCTTCAGTATAAGGCACAGCAGAAAATCCTTTCAAAATTCTTTCACTTTCCTTCAGTATTTCTTTCTTTTCTTTCCTTTCACTTTCCTTCAGTATAAGGCCATCCTTTCAAAATCCTTTCTTTTCATTCTCTTTCTTCAGTATTTATATCTCCTTCCTTTCTTTCTTTCTTTCCTTCTTTATTTCACACAGCATCATTCAAATCCTTTCACTTTCCTTCTTTTCATTTCTCTTTCTTTCTTTCATTTATTTCATCTTTCCTTCAGTATTTCTTTGTTTTCAAATCTTTCTTTTCCTTCAGTTAAGTCATCATGCCATCCTTTCAAATCCTTCCTTTCTTTTCATTCTCTTTCTTTCACTTTCCTTTATTCTCCTTCCTTCTTTCTTTCTTTTCTTTCCTTCTTTTATTTCGTCATCATGCCATCCTTTTCAAATTCCTTTCTTTTCCTTCAGTATAAGGCTTATTTAAAAAATCCTTTCAAATTTCTTTCTTTCTTTCTTTCGGCACATGCAGAAATCCTTTTCAAATCTTTTCTTTTCATTCTCTTTCTTTCTTATTTATAAAATCCTTCCTTCTTTCTTTCTTTCTTTCCTTCTTTCTTTCTTTCACATCAGAAAATCATTCAAATCTTTCACTATTCAGTTAAAGGCACAGCAGAAAATTCTTTCTTATCCTTTCTCCTTCCATCCTTCTTTATTTCTTTCTTTCTTTCGTCCTTTCATCCTTTCACTTTCCTTCTTTTAATTCTCTTTCTTTCTTATTTCCTTTCATTTCCTTCCTTAAGGCTTTCTTTCTTTCTTTCTTTCACTTTCTTTCAGTCATCACTGCCATTCTTTCAAATCCTTTCTTTCCTTCAGTTTTCACAGCAGAAAATCCTTTCAAATTTATCTCTTTCCTTCAGTATAAGGCACAGCAGAAAATTCTTTCAAATCCTTTCATCATTTCCTTCCTTTCAGGCACTGCAGAAAAATCTTTTCAAATCCTTTCACTTTCTTCAGTTTATATCTACTTCCTTCTTTCTTTCAAATCTTTCACTTTCCTTCAGTATAATGCCATTCTTTCACTCCTTCTTTTCATTTCTCTTTCCTTCAGTATAAGGCACATCTCCTTCCTTTCAAATCCTTTCACTTTCCTTCAGTATAAGGCACATCATGAAAATCCTTTCAAATCCTTTCCTTTCCTTTCAGTCTAAGGCACTCAGAAAATCCTTTCAAATCCTTTCACTTTCCTTCCTATAAGGCACAGCAGAAAATCTTTCAAATCCTTTCACTTTCCTTCAGTATAAGGCATCAGAAAATCCAAATCCTTTCACTTTCCTTCTTTTCATTCTCTTTCTTTCAAATTTTTACTTTCCTTCAGTATAAGGCTTGCTTTCCTTTCTTTCTTTCTTTTTTCCTTCAGTTAAAGGCACATCAGAAAATCCTTTCAAATCTCTTTCTTTCTTTTCATTATAAGGCACAGCAGAAAATCCTTTCAAATTTTTCACTTTCCTTCTTTATTTCTTTTTTCAAATCTTTCTTTCCTTCATCAAGGCACATCCTTTCAAAATCCTTTCTTTTCATTTCTCTTTCCTTCAGTATAAGGCTCCTTCCTTCTTTCTTTCTTTCACTTTCCTTCAGTTAAGGCTTTCTTTCTTTCGTCATCAAATCCATCCTTTCCTTCCAGTTAAGGCACTGCAGAAAATTCTTTCAAATCCTTTCACTTTCCTTCAGTATTTCTTTCTTTCCTTTCAAATCCTTTCACTTTCCTTCAGTATAAGGCCATCCTTTCAAAATCTTTCAAATCCTTTCATTTTCCTTCTTTCTTATTTATATCTACTTCATCCTTTCTTTCCTTTCTTTCTTTCAGTTTTCTTTCATTTAAGTCATCATGCCTTTCAATCATTCTTTCCTTTCCTTCCTTCTTTTTCATTCCTTTCTTTCCTTCATTTATATCTCCTTCCTTTCAAATCCTTTCTTTCTTTTCTTTATAAGGCGTCATCAGAAAATCCTTTCAAATTCCTTTCATTTCCTTCAGTTTAAGGCACATATAAAATCCTTTCAAATTTCTTTCTTTTTCCTTCTATCGGCATCATGCCATCCTTTCAAATCCTTTCACTTTCCTTCAGTATAAGGCACTTTTTCTTTCTTTTTCTTTTTTTTCAGTATCTCCTTCATTTCTTTCTTTCACTTTCCTTTCTTTTCGTCAAATCATTTCAAATCCTTTCACTTTCCTTCTTTCATTCTTTCAAATCTTTCTTTCTTCAGTTAAGGCACAGCAGAAAATCCTTTCAAATCTTTCCTTTCCTTCTTTCTTTCTTTCTTTCGTCATCAAATCCTTTCAAATCTTTTCACTTTCCTTCATTCTCTTTCTTTCTTAAAAATCCTTTCAAATCCTTTCTTCTTTCTTTCTTTTCTTTCTTTCAGAAAATCCTTTCGTCATCCTTTCACTTTCCTTCAGTTTTCCTTCAGAAAATCCTTTCAAATCTTTTTTTTTCCTTCATTTATATCTCCTTCATTCTTTCAAATCCTTTCTTTTCCTTCAGTTCGTCATCATGAAAATCCTTTCAAATTCCTTCTTTTCATTCTTTTCTTTCTTCAGTATAAGGCCTTCCTTCTTTCTTTCTTTCTTTCTTTTTTCTTTCTTTCGTCATCATGCCTTTCCTTTCCTTTCACTTTCCTTCTTTTAAGGCATTCTCTTTTTCTTTCACTTTCCTTCAGTATAAGGCACTTCAGAAAATCCTTTCTTTTCTTTCTTTCCTTCAGTATAATCACTGCAGAAAATCCTTTCACTCTTTCCTTTCTTTCATTCACTGCAGAAAATCTTTTTTCTTTCACTTTCCTTCATATCTCCTGCAGAAAATCCTTTCAAATCCTTTCCTTCCTTTCCTTTCTTTCTTTATAAGGCACATCAGAAAATCCTTTCTCCTTTCACTTTCCTTCAGTTTTCCTTTCAAATCCTTTCACTTTCCTTCAGTATAAGGCACAGCAGAAAAATCCTTTCTTCCTTTCACTTTTCCTTCAGTATAAGGCTTCCTTTCAAATTTTCACTTTCCTTCAGTATAAGGCCATCCTTTCATTCCTTTCACTTTCCTTCAGTATTCTTTTCTTCCTTTCAAATCCTTTCACTTTTCCTTCAGTATAAGGCACAGCAGAAAATCTTTCTTTTCTTTTCCTTCTTTAAGGCGTCATCATTTCAATCCTTTCCTTCAGTTCCTTTTTTCATTTTCTCTTTCCTTCAGTATAAGGCACTTCAGAAAATCCTTTCAAATCTTTTTCTTTCTTTCCTTCAGTATAAGGCACTGCAGAAAATCCTTTCAAATTCTCTTTCACTTTCCTTCAGTATAAGGCACTGCAGAAAATCCTTTCAAATTCTTTCACTTTCCTTCTTCAGTATAAAGTCATCAGCAGAAAATCCTTTCAAATCTTCCTTTTCCTTCAGTATAAGGCACTCTTTCCTTTCTCCTTTCACTTTCCTTCAGTATAAGGCTTCCTTTCTTTCTTTCCTTTCACTTTCTTTCGTCATAAGGCACAGCCAAAATCCTTTTCATCCTTTCACTCCTTCTTTAAGGCACAGCTTTCAATCCTTTCAAAAGGCATTTCCTTCAGTTCTTTCTTTCTTTCCTTTCTTTCTTTCTTTCCTTCAGTATAAGGCACAGCAAAAATCCTTTCAAATCCTTTCCTTTCCTTCAGTATAAGGCACTTTTTTCTTCCTTTATTTCTCCTTCAGTATTCACTGCGAAAATCTTTCTTTCCTTTCTTTTCCTTCAGTTTAAGGCACTCATTCCAATCCTTTCAAATCCTTTCACTTTCCTTCTTTATAAGGCACTGAAAATCCTTTCAAATCCTTTCTTTTCCTTCAGTATAAGGCCTTCTTTCTTTCCTTTTCTTTCTTTTTTCTTCAGTATAAGTCACATGCATCCTTTCAAAATTCCTTTCTTTTCATTCTTTTTTTCTTCAGTATATCACCACAGCAGAAAATCCTTTCTTTCCTTTCTTTCTTTCCTTTCAGTCATAAGGCACTTCCTTTCAAATCCTTTCACTTTCCTTCTTTATAAGGCACAGCAGAAAATCTTTCAAATCCTTTCACTTTCCTTCAGTATAAGGCACAGCAGAAAATCCTTTCAAATCCTTTCACTTTCCTTTCAGTATAAGGCACAGCAGAAAATCCTTTCAAATCCTTTCACTTTCCTTCAGTATAAGGCACTTTCAGAAAAATTTTCAAATCCTTTCACTTTCCTTTCACTCAGAAAATCCTTTCTTTCCTTTCACTTTCCTTCTTATAAGGCACTCAGAAAATCCTTTTCCTTTCTTTCCTTCTTTATAAGGCACTGCAGAAAATCCTTTCCTTTCACTTTCCTTCCTTCTTTTCATTTTCTCTTTTTTTCCTTCATTTATATCCTCCTTCCTTCTTCCTTTCTTTTCTTTCTTTCCTTCTTTCGGCATCATCCTTTCAAATCCTTTCACTTTCCTTCTATAAGGCACTCATTCTTTTTTTCTTATTTATAAGGCACAGCTCCTTTCAAATCCTTTCACTTTCCTTCTTATAAGGCACATCTTTCCTTTCAAATGCCATTCTTTCCTTCTTCCTTCTTTTCATTCTCTTTCTTTCTTATTTCATATTTCCTTCCTTCTTTCTTTCTTTCTTTCTTTCAAAATCATTTCAAATCCTTTCCTTCAGTATAAGGCACTTTTTTCAAATCTCTTTCACTTTCTTTCCTATCTATAAGGCCTTCTCCTTCCTTTCTTTCTTTCTTTCTTTCTTTTCGTCACTCATGCCATCCTTTCAAATCCTTTCTTTTTTCAGTTAAGGCACTGCTCCTTTCTTTTCACTTTCCTTCAGTATAAGGCCTTCCTTCTTTCCTTTCAAATCCTTTCTTTCCTTCAGTTTTCCATCCTTTGCAGAAAATCCTTTCTTTCTTTCTTTCTTTCTTTCTTATTTAGCAGAAAATTCTTTCAAATCCTTTTCTTTCTTTTCTTTAAAAGCTTTGCAGAAAATCATTTCAAATCCTTTCACTTTTCCTTCTTTTCAAGGCACTTTCTTTCTTCTTTTCAAATCCTTTCATTCTTTCTTTCAGTATTCTTTCTTTCTTTCGAAATCATTTCAAATCCTTTCACTCTTCCTTCAGTTTTCATTCTCACTTTTCTTATTTATTTCAAATCCTTTCTTTCTTTCTTTTCTTTATAAGGCACAGCAGAAAATCATTTCAAATCCTTTCACTTTCCTTCAGTATTCTTTTCAATCCTTTCAAATCCTTTCACTTTCCTTCAGTTATATCTCCTTTCCTTTTCACTTTCCTTTCTTTATTTCTTTCAGAAAATCCTTTCAAATCCTTTCATTTCCTTCAGTCCTTTTTTCTTTTTCCTTCAAATTCTTTCTTTTTCTTTCAGTTAAGGCTCCTTCCTTCTTTTCTTTCTTTTTTCTTTCTTTCAGTATAAGTCATCATGAAAATCCTTTTCAAATCTTCCTTTCTTTTCATTCTCTTTCAAATCCTTTCTTTCCTTCAGTATAAGGCACTCCTTCTTTCTTTCAAATCCTTTCTTTTCCTTCAGTATATCATGCCATCCTTTCAATTCTTTCAAATCTTTTCATTCTTTCCTTCTTATTTATATCTCCTTCCTTCTTTCAAATCCTTTTTCTTTCCTTCAGTATAAGCCATCCTTTTCAAAATTCCTTTTTCATTCTCTTTCACTTTCCTTCAGTATAGGCACTTCAGAAAATTCTTTCTTTCCTTTCACTTTCCTTCAGTATAAGGCACTGCAGAAAATCCTTTCAAATTCCTTCTTTTTCCTTCTCTTTAAGGCACTCCTTATATCTCCTTCCTTCTTTCTTTCTTTCTTTTCTTTCTTTCTTTTTCTTTCGTCATCATGCCATCCTTTCAAATTCCTTCTTTTTCAGTTAAAGGCTTATTTCTTTTTCTTTCTTTCCTTTCCTTTCCTTCTTCTTTCACAGCAGAAAATCCTTTCAAATTTTCTTTTCTTTCAGTATTTCTTCACTGCAGAAAATCCTTTCAAATCCTTTCACTTTCTTCAGTTAAGGCACAGCATCATCTTTCAAATCCTTTTCCTTCTTTTTCATTCAATTTTAAAGGCTTTATATCTCTTTCTTTCTTTTCCTTTCTTTTCTTTCTTTCAGGCACATCATGCCATCCTTTCCTCTTTCTTTCTTTTCATTTCTCTTTCTTTCTTATTTATATCTACTTCCTTCTTTCTTTCTTTCTTTCTTTCTTTCCTTCGTCATCATGCCATTCTTTCACTCTTCCTTCTTTTCATTTCTTTCTTTCTTATTTATATCTCCTTCCTTCTTTCTTTTCTTTCTTTCTTTCTTTCACATCATGCCATCCTTTCCTTTTCCTTCTTTTCATTCTCTTTCTTTCTTATTTATATCTACTTCCTTCTTTCTTTCTTTCTTTCTTTCTTTCATTCCGTCATCATGCCATTCTTTCCTTCTTCCTTCTTTTCATTCTCTTTTTCTTTCTTATTTATATCTCCTTCCTTTCTTTCCTTTTTTCTTTCCTTCTTTAAGGCACTCGTCATCATTCCATCCTTTCACTCTTCCTTCTTTTCATTTTCAAATCTTTCTTTCCTTTGTATCTCCTTCCTTCTTTCTTTCTTTCTTTCTTTCTTTCTTTCGTCATCATGAAATCCTTTCCTCTTCCTTCTTTTCATTCTCTTTCTTTCTTATTTATTCAAATCCTTCCTTCTTTCTTTCTTTCTTTTTCTTTCTTTTCTTTCGTCATCATGCCATCCTTTCCTCTTCCTTCTTTCAATTCTTTCATCTTTCTTTTTTTCAGTATCTCCTTCCTTCTTTCTTTCTTTCTTTCTTTCTTTCTTTCTTTCTTTCGTCATCATGCCATCCTTTCCTCTTCCTTCTTTTCATTCTCTTTCTTTCTTATTTATATCTACAGTCATTCTTTCTTTTCTTTCTTTTCTTTCTTTCTTTCTTTCATTCGTCATCATGCCATTCTTTCACTTCTTCCTTCTTTTTCCTCTCTTTCTTTCTTATTTATATCTCCTTCCTTCTTTCTTTCTTTCTTTCTTTCTTTCGTCATCATGCCATCCTTTTCCTCTTCCTTCTTTTCATTTCTTTCTTTCTTATTTATATCTCCTTCCTTTCTTTCTTTCTTTCTTTCTTTCTTTTCTTTCGTCATCATGCCATCCTTTCCTCTTCCTTCTTTTTTTCTTTTCTTTCTTTTTTTATCTCCTTCATTCTTTCTTTTCTTTCTTTCTTTCTTTCGTCATCAGAAAATCTTTCATCCTTTCCCTTCTTTTCATTCTCTTTCTTTTCTTTCATTATATCTCCTTCCTTCTTCCTTTCTTTCTTTTTTTCTTTCTTTCGTATCAAGGCATCCTTTCATTCTTCCTTCTTTTCATTCTCTTTCTTTCTTATTTATATCTCCTTCCTTCTTTTCTTTCTTTTTTTCTTTCTTTCTTTCTTTCGTCATCATTAATCCTTTTCAAATCCTTCTTTTCATTCTTTTCTTTCTTATTTATATCTCCTTCATTCTTTCTTTCTTTCTTTCTTTCTTTCTTTCGTCATCATCATGCCATCCTTTCCTCTTCCTTCTTTTTCTTTCTCTTTCTTTCTTATTTATATCTCCTTCCTTCTTTCTTTCTTTCTTTCTTTCTTTCTTTTCTTTCGTCATCATGCCATCCTTTCAAATCTTCCACTTTTCATTCTCTTTCTTTCTGCAGATATCACCTTCATTCTTCCTTTCTTTCTTTCTTTCTTTCTTTCGTCATCATGCTATCCTTTCAAAATCTCCTTCTTTTTTCATTCTCTTTTTCTTATTTATATCTCCTTCCTTCCTTCTTTCTTCCTTTTCCTTTCTTTCTTTCGTCATCATGCCTTTCTTTCAGAAATCTTCCTTCTTTTCATTCTCTTTCTTTCTTTATATCTCCTTCCTTCTTTCTTTTCTTTCTTTCTTTCTTTCACTTTCTTTCTTTCTTTCTTTTTCTTTCGTCATCATGCCATCCTTTCACTCTTCCTTCTTTTCATTCTCTTTTCTTATTTATATCACCTTCATTCTTCCTTTCTTTCTTTCTTTCTTTCCTTTCGTCATCATGAAAATCCTTTCACTTTCCTTCTTTTCATTCTCTTTTTTCTTTTTTATATCTTTCCTTCCTTCTTTCTTCCTTTCTTTCTTTCTTTCGTCATCATGCCATTCTTTCTTTCCTTCTTTTCATTCTCTTTCTTTCTTATTTATATCTCCTTCCTTTTTTCTTTCTTTTCTTTCTTTCATCATCATGCCATCCTTTCCTCTTCCTTCTTTTCATTCTCTTTCTTTCTTATTTATATCTCCTTCCTTCTTTCTTTCTTTCTTTCTTTCGTCATCATGCCATCCTTTCCTCTTCCTTTCTTTTCATTCTCTTTCTTTTTTTTTATCTCCTTCCTTTCTTTCTTTCTTTCTTTCTTTCTTTCGTCATCACTGCAGAAATCACTCTTCCTTCTTTTCATTCTCTTTCTTTCTTATTTATATCTCCTTCCTTCTTTCTTTCTTTCTTTCTTTCTTTATAAATCATGCCATCCTTTCACTCTTCCTTCTTTTCATTTCTTTCTTTCTTATTTATATCTCCTTCCTTCTTTTTTCTTTCTTTCTTTCTTTCTTTCGTCATCATGCCATCTTTTCCTCTTCCTTCTTTTCATTTTCTTTTTCTTATTTATATCTCCTTCCTTTCAAATTCTTTTTCTTTCTTTTTTTTATTTAAGGCTTTCGTCATCTTGCCATCCTTTCACCTCTTCCTTCTTTTCATTCTCTTTCTTTCTTATTTATATCTCCTTCCTTTCTTTCTTTCTTTTTTCTTTCGTCATCATGCCATCCTTTCACTCTTCCTTCTTTTCATTCTCTTTCTTTCTTATTTATATCTCCTTCCTTTCTTTCTTTCTTTCTTTCTTTCTTTCTTTCGTCATCATGCCATTCTTTCCTCTTCCTTCTTTTCATTCTCTTTCTTTCTTATTTATATCTCCTTCCTTCTTTCTTTCTTTAAATCTTTCTTTCTTTCGTCATCATCATGCCATCCTTTCCTCTTCCTTCTTTTCATTCTCTTTCTTTCTTATTTATATCTCCTTCCTTCTTTCTTTCTTTCTTTCTTTCTTTCGTCATCATGCCATCCTTTCACTTTCCTTCTTTTCATTCTCTTTTTTTTTATTCTCTTTCCTTCTTTCTTTCTTTCTTTCTTTCTTTCGTCATCATATCCATCCTTTCTTTCTTCCTTCTTTCTTTCTTTCTTTCTTTCTTTCTTTCTTTCTCTTTCATTCTTTCTTTCTTTCTTTCCTTCTTTTTCATTTCTCTTTCTTTCTTATTTATTTCTCTCTTCCTTCTTTTCATTCTTTTTTCTTTCTTTCTTTCTTTCTTTCTTTCATCTTTCTTTCTTTCTTTCTTTTCCTTCTTTTCATTCTCTTCCATCTTTTCTTATTTATATCTCCTTTTATTCTTTCTTTCTTTCTTTCTTTCTTTCTTTCTTTCGTCATCATGCCATCCTTTCACTCTTCCATCTTTTCATTCTCTTTCTTTCTTATTTATATCTCCTTCCTTATTTCTTTGTTTCTTTCTTTATTTCGTCATCATGCCATCCTTTCATTCTTCCTTCTTTTCATTCTCTTTCTTTCTTATTTATATCTCCTTCCTTCTTTCTTTCTTTCTTTCTTTCTTTCGTCATCATGCCATCCTTTCATTCTTCCTTCTTTTCATTCTCTTTCTTTCTTATTTATATCTCCTTCCTTCTTTCTTTCTTTCTTTCGTCATCATGCCATCCTTTCACTCTTCCTTCTTTTCATTCTCTTTCTTTCTTATTTATATCTCCTTCCTTCTTTCTTTCTTTCTTTCTTTCTTTCTTTCGTCATCATGCCATCCTTTCACTATTCCTTCTTTTCATTCTCTTTCTTTCTTATTTATATCTCCTTCCTTCTTTCTTTCTTTCTTTCTTTCTTTCTTTCGTCATCATGCCATTCTTTCACTCTTCCTTCTTTTCATTCTCTTTCTTTCATATTTATATCTCCTTCCTTCTTTCTTTCTTTCTTTCTTTCTTTCTTTTTCTTTCGTCATCATGCCATCCTTTCACTCTTCCTTCTTTTCATTCTCTTTCTTTCTTATTTATATCTACTTCCTTCTTTCTTTCTTTCTTTCTTTCTTTCATTCGTCATCATGCCATTCTTTCACTCTTCCTTCTTTTCATTCTCTTTCTTTCTTATTTATATCTCCTTCCTTCTTTCTTTCTTTCTTTCTTTCTTTCGTCATCATGCCATCCTTTCACTTTTCCTTCTTTTCATTCTCTTTCTTTCTTATTTATATCTCCTTCCTTCATTCTTTCTTTCTTTCTTTCTTTCTTTCGTCATCATGCCATCCTTTCACTTTCCTTCTTTTCATTCTCTTTCTTTCTTATTTATATCTCCTTCCTTCTTCCTTTCTTTCTTTCTTTCTTTCTTTCGTCATCATGCCATCCTTTCATTCTTCCTTCTTTTCATTCTCTTTCTTTCTTATTTATATCTCCTTCCTTCTTTCTTTCTTTCTTTCTTTCTTTCTTTCGTCATCATGCAATCCTTTCACTTTTCCTTCTTTTCATTCTCTTTCTTTCTTATTTATATCTCCTTCATTCTTTCTTTCTTTCTTTCTTTCTTTCGTCATCATGCCATCCTTTCACTCTTCCTTCTTTTCATTCTCTTTCTTTCTTATTTATATCTCCTTCCTTCTTTCTTTCTTTCTTTCTTTCTTTCTTTCGTCATCATGCCATCCTTTCACTCTTCCTTCTTTTCATTCTCTTTCTTTCTTATTTATATCACCTTCATTCTTCCTTTCTTTCTTTCTTTCTTTCTTTCGTCATCATGCTATCCTTTCACTCTTCCTTCTTTTCATTCTCTTTTTTCTTATTTATATCTCCTTCCTTCCTTCTTTCTTCCTTTCTTTCTTTCTTTCGTCATCATGCCATTCTTTCACTCTTCCTTCTTTTCATTCTCTTTCTTTCTTATTTATATCTCCTTCCTTCTTTCTTTCTTTCTTTCTTTCATCATCATGCCATCCTTTCACTCTTCCTTCTTTTCATTCTCTTTCTTTCTTATTTATATCTCCTTCCTTCTTTCTTTCTTTCTTTCTTTCGTCATCATGCCATCCTTTCACTCTTCCTTCTTTTCATTCTCTTTCTTTTTATTTATATCTCCTTCCTTCTTTCTTTCTTTCTTTCTTTCGTCATCATGCCATCCTTTCACTCTTCCTTCTTTTCATTCTCTTTCTTTCTTATTTATATCTCCTTCCTTCTTTCTTTCTTTCTTTCTTTCTTTCGTCATCATGCCATCCTTTCACTCTTCCTTCTTTTCATTCTCTTTCTTTCTTATTTATATCTCCTTCCTTCTTTCTTTCTTTCTTTCTTTCTTTCTTTCGTCATCATGCCATCCTTTCACTCTTCCTTCTTTTCATTCTCTTTCTTTCTTATTTATATCTCCTTCCTTCCTTCTTTCTTTTTTCTTTCTTTTCGTCATCATGCCATCCTTTCACTTCCTTCTTTTCATTCTCTTTCTTTCTTATTTATATCTCCTTCTTTCTTTCTTTCTTTCTTTCTTTCTTTCTTTCGTCATCATGCCATCCTTTCACTCTTCCTTCTTTTCATTCTGTTTCTTTCTTATTTATATCTCCTTCCTTCTTTCTTTCTTTCTTTCTTTCGTCATCATGCCATCCTTTCACTCTTCCTTCTTTTCTTTCTTTCTTCCTTCCTTCCTTGCTTCTTTCCATTCTTTCTTTCTTTATTTTTTTCTTCATTCATTCCTTATTTTTCCCCTACGTCTTTTTCTTTTCTCCTTATCTCCTACGATTAGTTTTCATAATTTTATTTACTAGCATCTTTTTTTTCTTCTTCATTCGGTACCTTCTATATCGTACTTATCTCTCATCTTTCACAATCTTCTACTGCAACTTGTCTCTTTTTCTTTCATGGCAGAATCTGCGTTCAAAAATAAAAGCCAGACACTCAACACAGAAACATCTTATTTGCTGATAAGATGCACCCTTTGATACTAATTCAAGAAAAAGAGCGCAAATTGATTTCATGAAAACAGTAAAAAAAAATTTCAGCCAATCAAAAATACAGGAAAGAGTGGAGGGAGGGGAAGGGAGAAAAGATGAAGTCTAAAAGAAAATGAAGTTAGGAGAAGAAAGCTGGTTTCAAGATGAGAGCAGAAAACAATAGTGAGGAGAGAAGATGATGCCGTTTGCAAAGGAATCGTCTGCAAAACACCAACGAAAGCTGCAATTCTATTTATCAAGCGGCCTGCGTGCAATTCATCGGATCACTGTTTCAACTTCGTCAACAATGTCAATATCTATGTAGTTTATTAATTCTAGTGCGATTGTTTTTTATGTAAAAAGGTTAAAGTGTAAATCAGTATGTAAGTGTAATGGAATATGAAAAACACATAAGTTGAGGATATATATATATATATATGTAGATAGATATAAAGATATTTTAGATATATAGATATGAAGAGATATATTAGTAGATACATAGAATACTTAGCAAACATATTGCTGGTGTGTACGAACGAACCGCTATATATAGAGAAATAGATATGAAGAGACATAGATAGATAGATAGATAGATAGATAGATAGATAGATAGATAGATATTAGGTTGGTGCAAAAATAATGACGTTTTTGACGTAAAAAAACGACATTCTTACGTCATTATTTTTGCACCAACCTAATAGATAGATAGATTGTTGCTGGTAAAAGCCTGCTAGTCTGACCGATATTATGATGAGGTTTTATAAATCTTGCATAGCCAGTAAGTACCGCTTACCGTGTATTTATCGTGTTGTGCCAAGCCAGTAACATGTACGGATTATTATTTCCAGGCCATGATTAGGATCTGCATAGATGGTTTATCAGAAAATATAAAGTTCTCAGCACGGCACACTTTCCATAATATGACGCTCAAATATCATAATCTTATAAATGTCTCCTTGCTCGGACCGGGAACTTTTTTTTAACTAGTCGCCAACTTCTTTCTCGAATAAAAAAATGTACAAGATATAAAATTGTACACTTGTCTTATACACAAGTAATTTAAATTCCGAAATTCTCCCCTGTTAGATCCAAAAGTTTCTTACGTTTTCATGGACACGATTTTGGAGAAATATTACGTTTTTTTATGTTTCCTTGACTCTTCTTTTCTTGTGAAAAGAATCAACTGTAGTCCGTCATTTACAGGCATAAAGAAAGACCAAGAAACTAAGAAAATTTATTACAGTCTAATATGCAGAAATAAAAGACGCTCAGCTATGAATAAATAAAAATCAACATATTAATATATTAGATAGATAGATAGATAGATAGATAGATAGATAGATAGATGAGAAGAGGCTGAGATAGATAGATAGATAGATGAATGAATAGATGAATGATAGATAGATAGATAAAGAAGCAGCTGAGAATAGATAATAGATAATAGATAGATAGATAGATAGATAGATAAGAAGAGGCTGAGATAGATAGATAGACTGACAGAGCTCCTTAAAATAAAGATAAATATAGGATAGATATATCAAAGCTAAGATTTCTAAAGAGAAAGTAAATATCTCTGAACTCCTACTAGCGATTAGGTACGCAAAACAGTAGTTCTGGATTTACGTAGCGAGCAGTCAACCACTCTGGCAGCTGCGATATGGGTGTTACATGTGGGCAGATGAAAGATATATAGCGAATAGCCACTCTAAAGCCTAGCACTGAGAGAACTATCTATTGATACTGCGCAAAAGAAATGATTAGGCACCGACTATATGAAATCGACTTATTACGGTTATCCAAAAGTGAAAAAAGATAAAATTATGTTAGATCCAAAACAGACTTTCAGCTATAAATTAATCAACTTAAACAGAATCTGCTTGCCAAAAGTCTTTTCTATTTATTGGATTCATAATAAAATTCATAATTTCGAATTTTTTTCTACTTGTCATGGCACAACGCTATAGCCAACAATATTATAGCCATCTTGTTGGAAAGACGCCGGTGGATAACACAACTCTTAATCATGTTGCAAATCTGACGCAGCAAAGCTTCTTAGAGACGTGATGGTTTGTTTAAACACCGTTGTATTTGTTGACTTCCGAAACGATTTAGTTACGATCCATGCTGTAATATTTAGCTAATCAGACATTCGAATTCAGGATATAAAAACTGTTCGAGAAAACAGAACTTTTCTTTCTTTTCTTTATTTAAGGATTTAAAGCGACTAAGACGCAAGGGGACGACGGGAAATGAAAAAGAAGGAAAATACTTTTGAAGAAACCGGAATTAACAATAGTATAAATTTCAGAGTTTAGATGGAGACGTTAGAAGTAGAATTTTGAAGTAGAATTTAAAATCTGTTTTGTTGACTTGATTCCATCAGTAGATATGTCATGTTTAAAATCCTCCAATTCTATGGTATACTTTTCAGAATTGTTGAGGAAATTAGAGCTCTGTACACCACTGCCAACATTGTATCGCCTGATAGCAAGACAGATTCCTTTGAAGTTAAAGCGGGAGTTCTACAAGGCGACATACTTGCTCCTTTTCTGTTTATAGTTGTTCTCGACTACGTTCTTCGTATTTCTCTCTACAACATGGAGGAAAGATGACTTCTTTTGAGACGTCGTCAGAGTAGTCGGTACCCTTATCAGTACCTGGCTAATCTTGACTTTGCCGATGATCTTGCATTAATTTCTCAATATATCAAGGATGAAGAATCCTTGCTGAATCACTTTAGCAAGCAGCGAACTATATAGGTCTCTAATGCAACGTAAAACAGAATATATCAAAACCTCCCCTGAACCATCCGAGTTGAAGTCACTCAATAATACACCCATCAAAAGAGTCGAGGACTTCAAATTTCTTGGATTTCATATAATAGATTATAAAAAAAAATCAACATCCACAAAGCTTTTTCATGGGTCACAAACTTCACAAGAAACTCCCATCCTCTTTAAAGGTTCAAACCTTTCGAGTATTGCCTGAAACAGTCCTTGATCAGAAGCTTAGACATTATCTGCTCGTCTTTCAAGACGACTAGATGGAACATCTAGAAAACTACTTAGAAAAATCCAGAACATCAGTTGGAGATGCCATGCAACGCTTAACACAAATTACGGAGAACTGAGACCTGTCTCTTTTAAGCTCAAACAAACAACGATTACAGTTTGCCCGCCACTGCCACCGACCGGACAGGGAAATCGTCTCATCCTTACTCCATGGCATCCTCCTGAAAGTGTCTTCTTCTCCAGACACCATAGCTCGGGACTCAGGGTTGAACATTGGTGTTCTGGGGGACAGCAATACAGGAGCGAACAGTGTGGAAAGGGATTGTCAATGGAGTTCCAAACAACCATTGGGTGGTCAAAAGATGATGATAATCGAATGTAATGTAAGCCTTCGAGGTATATAGTGGGAGCACCAGAGCAGATATGGTTAATGAATTCGAAAGAGGAAAAATCCAGAATATCAGTTGGAGAACCCATGCAGCGATTAACACAATTTACGGGGAAATGAGACCAATTTCTCTTCAGCTCAAACAAAATCGATTACAGTTTGCCGGCCACTGCCACCGAGCGGACAGGGAAATCGTCTCATGCTTACTCCTATGACATCCTCCTGGAAGTGTCTTCTCACGAAAATTGACTTCCCCAGACATCATATAGTTCGAGTCTCAGGGTTGGACATTTAGGATCTGGGGAGGGCAATGCAGAACTGAACAATGTGAAAAGGGATTGCCAATGGAGTTCCGACCAACCATAAGGAGGTCGAAGGACGAGAATGATGATGAAAAGGAACGGGAAACCCAAACTTAAACGGCAAAAAGGGGGGGGGTACTGTTTGGAATTCATTTTTTTCTGAAATGGGGTGTAAAGATGTAGAAAGTGAAGGCAATTACTTTAATGACTGAATAAGAATGCAATGAAAAGTTACTAATAAAATAGTAGTAAAAAATTCCAGAAACATTTGCATTAATCAAATATTATAATGACTAATCTCCTCAGAAAAGTTAGCCATAGCTGTAATCATATATCTATATCAACAGATATTTTTATTACTATAAAATTTATTTTTAGTGTTGACACGTAACTGAGTAGACATCCATTTTTAAGTAAATTAATATCTACTGGCCTCGAGAACGAAAGTATTAATAATTTGTCCAAAGAATTTAGCCACACATTATACATAGTTTATGCTGATTCTCAATGTACAATGTGCACGTCATTCTACGGGTGCTGTTGACACGATGGAACCCATTGCTATTAGCTGCAGGATAGATTCTTCAACAAATAAACCGGTTCCTCCACTAGGGTGTTCTGTTAATATTGCATGATCAAAAGCAAAACCCTCCAAAGGGCGGATGATCGTTCTCGTAGGATCGAATGCCATCTAGCACGATGGACTAGATTATACTATAATGAAATGGCATCGCGGGGCAGACGGATTCCGAGAAAAGGCCATCGGCCGGGGGCAAAGACTTCCCCAATGGTATCAACGGCCACGAGACTTTACGTTGGCGTGCATCAGCTGTGATTTGACTTGGAGGGGGGTCGACGCCAACGGATCTACTTGACCTAGAAATTCTACGCATCAATGAATACCTTAAACTAAATAAGTGGAGGGATATGGTCTCGGTACTCAGTTGGGCAGCGGCACTACAGTTACAACCGTTCATGGCATAGGGGATGGTTTTAATGATGACGTCGGTGATCAGGAAAATAGATTCTCAATCGCTAGAAAATAATACTTGATGTGTATAACTTCTATATAATTTTATATAGTAACAAGAATAAATTAAAATGATGGCTTTCGTTTATATTATCTACTATCTA